AAGGGACTTTTGGATCCAATCCAAAATGTCCATCTCATTTTGATTCTGATTGGAGTTTCCATCTCTCGGGAGCCAGTAGTTATCTGAAATCCACGATTTAGCAGGTTTGTGTATTATCCAGTATCAATCAGCTCTGGCGGTTACTGGATCCTACAAACAGCGAGTGCGAAGGTCGTGCCCATATTCTTCATGGACCTATTGTTTTAAATGGCCTTTTACTTTATCCTTGCATTGTCAGGCCACTAAGCAACAAAGCAACTTCCGTATGCTGATTGACTGTGGATGCTTTCCCTTCCTCTCTCAGCCAAAAGGAAAACACCTTTTTTAAAAAAATTAAAAGCTGTAAGGCCAGATATATGTGTGAATGAACACATGCATTAATTTTCATCCACAAACATATGCTGACAAAGCACAGAGCGCCTAACACCAGGTCTGTTTGGGATGCAAAACCATCAGACTTCATTCATGGTACCTGCTTCCCATATATGGCTTGTCGGGAATGGGAAGTTGCCATAAAAGGGGATCCTCATGTGTGCTGGTGGAGTTCATCTATAGCAGCCCCATATGGAACAATGGTGGCCTCAACACGGCTGAGTAAAACTGCTTCATCCGAATACTGCTGTGGAATCTGAAACAGTGGCATAGCATGGATTGCCAGTGCCCAGGAAAGCGCATAGGGGGTGGGTGGGTTGGAGGGAGGGAAATGGTTGGAGTACGCATCCACATTCAACGGCTACCGCATCACCCAGGAGATTGCAGCCACAGAGCTAAGAAAAGACGAGTTGTTCCATTGTCTGGCTTCCTGGTTCACATGGAGAAGCCATTTTCAGCAGAGCCCAGCAATGGAAGCACACAGCTGCATTGAGGCAATTTTGCACCCAAGGCAACTGCCCTTATGCCCCCCCCATGCTACACCACTCATCTGAAAAATAATAATGACTCCTGCTTTCTTAAATGCTTGGGCATATAATTATTTTGGGCCATGAGTCATTCCAGCTAAGCTAAATATTGAACTGTTTGCTCAAATACAGGGAGATTGTTTTTTTCCTAATCAGCCTAGGACAACCTAAGTTTGGTTTGTTCTTCCACATCCCTGAGGACATTTCGTTCTGTTTGCTGCCCTTGGGTTGCTGGCAAAATTTGATTGGTATCCTTACTGCTTGTTATCTCTCGAAGGTCCTTTTGTGTCTCGGGTATTCTTTGACATATCTCCTTCCTGAATAGTTACTACTCTTGACGACCCCTCTCCCCTTTGTTTCCGACTCTCCTGGGCTACTCTTTCTTCTGCTTCTATGCCTGCCATCAATCCAGAGACGGAAGGATGTTTTTTTTTGGGGGGGATAAATAGTTGCTTGTTTACAGGCTGCGGCTCACTTACCAGAAAAGAAAAGGAAAATTGTACTTTGCAAAAATCTCATGACGATTCATTATGCTGCCAGCAGAAGGGGAAATGGAGGTCAAGGATTTTAAGGCAGAACACAGTAGGCTTTTTCATGGTGAAGTCTCCACTTCTTTTGTTCCGATGCCCCTCTGGGAGTTATTTACTGTTGGGGTTTACTGCAAGGACAGTGCTTCCTTGCCTGTTCTCAGGGGTCTGGTTCAAGTAATTTGAACTCGCGGCACATCACATGAGGGGGGCGGATCGCCACTAATTAAAGATGCCTCGTGCCAATTCAGTTTTTTTACTAGTGTGTGAAGGGCTGTTGATTCTCAGTTCACGCCAGGAGGGCATTACAACGGTGAAAACACCAGTGAGAAAGAAATATGTGGGGCATGACGCCAGGGCAAGTAATTGTAGTAGCTGATTTCAGCTGAATAATGGGCATTTATGGCATGAGCTATGAGACAGGATTATTTCCAGCTGGAATAATGGACGTATTGTGTGGTCTTGGGCAAGGTACCACAACCCTGCACATGTAATGTAGGGATAAAAAGAACCAAAGTAGACGTGTCTCTGGCAAACCCGTCTCTTTTTAAAACTGGCTGCGCAACAAGCATGTATAAAACAGGGGGAATGTGGCTTACTTCCCTATAGCATTTTTCATGAACTGGATTTAAATACCAGAAGTAAGCCAGTCAGGGAGAAAAGTGGTGGGTGGGGGGCTGTGGAAAGGCAAGCGGAGAGCACAGAGAGGGTTCAGCAATCCCACGGCCATTCCCGTTTTTCCTTTTAAAAATTGGATCCTCCTTCTGCTTTATACCACATTAGGAGAGACCCCATACCAAAAGTGATATGTCTCTCACCACCCTGTATAGTTTGTCCCTAATACAGTGGTACCTCAGGTTAAGTACTTAATTCGTTCTGGAGGTCCGTACTTAACCTGAAACTGTTCTTAACCTGAAGCACCACTTTAGCTAAGGGGGCCTCCTGCTGCCGCCGCGCTGCCGGAGCACGATTTCTGTTCTCATCCTGAAGCAAAGTGCTTAACCTGAAGCACTATTTCTGGATTAGCAGAGTCTGTAACCTGACGTGTATGTAACCTGAAGCGTATGTAACCCGACTTACTACTGTACTGGTCTACTTTACAAAATTGTTCTAAGGATGATTGAGCTAACATACGTCAACACTTTAAGCACTTGAGGGAAAAAGTTCTATATAAAAAAGCAATACCGCTATCCTCAGGAAATCTCAATACAGTTGCACACATTCAGTCTCAGAGCAGCAAGAGATGCAAGGGGTTCCTGCACTTACAGGGTTTGGTAGCCTTGGAATGAAGGTCAGTGGAGACTGTAGTGTCTTTAGGGTTATATATTTATACATCTACACAACCTGAGCATACGTTGGAAGGGCTCACAGAGTTAACACCATGACAGATCTTGCTTCCCCTTCCATTTTCTGGGAAGTCCTAAGTCACAGCCTGGGTCTAACCTTAAATTGGTTGTGTTTATTATTTTAGTGGGTCTACTCTGAGTAGGACTGAAATCAACCCACTGTCTCCCTCCACGTTGGGGCTATGCAAAGATGATATCCATGTTATTTGATGTGAGTGATGTAGAAAAAACACGCTCCTTTTACCTTATGGGGTATCCAAGAGCCCATATAGAGTCCTTAAGTGGGTTCCCTATCAGTAGGAGAAAATAACAGAGGCCAACCAGAGAATATTGAGAAGCAAAGCAGCTAGTAAGCCTGATCTTTATTAAACTCTTGCAGCAGGGTCCTCACTCCCCACATGCAGGAGGGAGAAGGAACCCAGAACAATGGTGTGCAAGCCCTTATATAGACTTTTGAAAGTCCTGTAACGCCCTGTAACTCAAGACCACCCTCAAAAACATCATACATACATCACAGAAGGAGGAAGTCTACAACAGAAATCCTGTCTGCCAGGATACCTCACAATGACCAGTGATTGCTTTACTTGGGCAGCCTGGACCATTCTTTTGTGATGGTAAAGGTAAAGGTACCCCTGCCCGTACGGGCCAGTCTTGACAGACTCTAGGGTTGTGCGCTCATCTCACTCTAGAGGCCGGGAGCCAGCGCTGTCTGCAGACACTTCTGGGTCACGTGGCCAGCGTGACGAAGCTGCTCTGGCGAGCCAGAGCCGCACACGGAAACGCCATTTACCTTCCCGCCAGTAAGCGGTCCCTATTTATCTACTTGCACCCGGGGGTGCTTTCGAACTGCTAGGTTGGCAGGCGCTGGGACCAAGCAACGGGAGCGCACCCCGCCGCGAGGATTCGAACCGCCGACCATGTGATCGGCAAGTCCTAGGCGCTGAGGTTTTACCCACAGCGCCACCCGTGATGGTAGATACTTTTAATTCCTGAATCCAGGTCACAGGCTCACCCTATTCATACACAAAGATGCTCTAAAGACAGGTACGCAAAAGACAATGGAGAGGCTTTCCCATTTCCTTCCTCCTTGCAGAGAAACATCTGAGGTCAATTTGGGAGAGTCAAAATGGTTTCAGGATTGCTCTTCTGTACTATTTCAGACATGTGGTTTATATACTTAGGGATGCAGGTGGCGCTGTGGTCTAAACCACAGAGCCTAGGGCTTGCCTAGGTTGGTGGTTTGAATCCCTGCGACGGGGTGAGCTCCCGTTGCTTGGTCCCAGCTCCTGCCAACCAACAGTTCGAAAGCACGTCAAGTGCAAGTAGATAAATAGGTACCGCTCCGGCGGGAAGGTAAACGGCGTTTCCGTGTGCTGCTCTGGTTCGCCAGAAGCGGCTTAGTCATGCTGGCCACATGACCTGGAAGCTGTCTGCAGACAAATGCTGGCTCCCTCGGCCTATAGAGTGGGATGAGCAACACAACCCCAGAGTTGTCTGCGACTGGACCAAACAGTCAGGGGTCCCTTTACCTTTATGTGTTTGCCTTGTAAATTTATGAACGTTTCATTTATATATTTGAGACCTTAAATTCTTATAACATGAGTAACTGAAACAAATCGAAGCAAACTTGTACCAGCAGGGATCAAGGACCTTCCTGATGAAATCTATACCCACAGTACTGTTTAACTAGTAAAAGGAGCATGCATTCCATTTCCTCCCAGCTAACAACCACTAAGATCTTCCAGAAATCATGTGCACCTAGGCCGGTCAAGTTTCTCTTCTTTCTTATTCCAATCCCAAAGGACCAAGCCTATGAACCAAAATCCCTTCTATCATCATCATCATCATCATCATCATCATCATCATTTTAGATGGAAACAACAACAACAATGTTTCACTCTTCTAATTCCATCAGGTCCAGCATTTTGGCTTGCCAGATGGAACAATCCTACTTTCTTCTTCCTGCAGAGTGTTCTGGGGATTTCCCCCAACCCAGTCAATTTTGGGTGGTGGTGGTGGTGGGGTATGTAAAGTGAGAGGTGGGGGAAGCCCTATTGCACAAGTGGAAGTCCTTTCACTAATAAGACTTATCAGTTGAATCCTGCACCACCACCATTGTCTCCATCATATTCCCTGAACTGTCATACCCAAATTAAGAAAAGCGGGTAAAAGGAAAACTCCTTGGTAATGCCATTATTAGAGGTCTATATTGGAGATCTTTGCCTTACCTTGTTCACAGTAGATGCCAGTGGTTCCTAGTGGGCAGTGGCAGGTGTAGCCGTCAGGCAGTGGGGCACAGGTAGAACCTTGCCTGCACCTGTGGGGTGGCTTGTGCTCGGGATCACAGACAGAAACTGTCTCCATGCAGAATGCTCCTTTCCAGCCAGCGGGGCAATGGCAGCTAAGAAGAGAAAACCATAGGATATTATCAATACAGGGCTAGCTGCATGTTACAAGCCACTGTGTATAAGGGAGTCCCTGTGCCTTTTTCTTTTTTTAAGGAAAAGTATCTTGGCAATAGGGACGTGGGCGGCGCTGTGCATTAAACCACAGAGCCTAGGACTTGCCGATCAGAAGGTCAGCGGTTTGAAGCCCTGCGACAGGGTGAGCTCCCGTTGCTCGGTCCCTGCTCCTGCCAACCTAGCAGTTCAAAAGCATATCAAAGTGCAAGTAGATAAATAGGTACCACTCCGGCGGGAAGGTAAATGGCGTTTCCGTGCGCTGCTCTGGTTCACCAGAAGCGGCTTAGTCATGCTGGCCACATGCTTAGACATGGCTCCCTCGGCCAATAAAGCGAGATGAGTGCCGCAACCCCAGAGTCGGCCACGACTGGACCTAATGGTCAGGGGTCCTTTTACCCTTTACCTTTGCCTATCTTGGCAATGGGGAATTTGAATAAGGGAAACAATGAGCTGAACCCTTTCGCAGCCTCTGCAATTAATCCTTCCAGATGCTTTTCCTGATGCAGAATGCAAGGCACTTACTTCCTCTTGCAAGCACATGTTGCGAAAATCATGTGGGAGGTGATATGCAGCAGAGGGAGGTGGGGAAGGGGTTAAGGGAAGCTCCCCCTGCTGCTTCTCTGCTCCAAACTTCCCCCACCAAAACTGCTTTTCTCATTAAAACAAAAACAAAAAAACAGGGTAGGCCCTAAAAATATTCATCTCAGGCATCAAAGGTCAGGGGGAAGAGGTGTGTCTTCTACATATGATGGAAATTTCACAATGAAGGTGCCAGACACACCTCTGTTGGGGAGAGAATTCAAATTCTTAGAGACTGCCACAGAGAATGCCTTCTCCTTTTTGACCACCCTCTGAACATTCAAGGGCTGAGGAACTACCAAGAGGGCCCCTTCTGCCTTAGACACTAAGGTGAACTATGAAGCCCACTTTCCTCCTCCTTGTAGGAGGGGCTACCAAGATAGTGCACCTGGACTGCTGTGCTGAATGTGTACCTGCAGCTACTGGATTTATGATCCCTCACCACCACTATGCCCAACTGCCATTCAGGTGCTCGGAAAGGCTGATCTCTGTATAGAAGCTTATTTGGTCAACAGACTGCATTTACAGATGCCCTGTGTATTACCATATACAAGCAATGATATCAAAGGATGTATTATAGTTTGGTTGAGCAAGAACAGATCAGTGCCACCTGGTGGGGAGGGCTAAAGTGCAGTGACAGGACACCTGCTTTGCATGCAGAAGGTTCCAGATTTAATCCCCAGGCAGGATTAAATCCCTGCCTGAGGTCCCTGCCTGAGACCCTGGAGACCTGCTGCCAATCAATCTAAACAATAATGATCGAAGAAAGACTGATGGTCTGACTTGGCATATGCTCCTGTGAGTAGAATACTATTTTGGCTTTATTGCAGGCACCTCTGACTGCGCCAGTTTCTAATCAATTCAAAAGAATCACCAAATTCCAGGAGCTTGTGCATATTATTTTCAACTCAAGTGTTAGATAGATACCCAAATAGTTATTGCCCAGCAGAAACCTATTTTCTATTTTTCCACATCAAGGGCGGCTGGTCCTAGAAACTTATTACCAGAGGTTTTGCATGCCTGTTGCAATGCATTTCAAATAATGTATTTCTACCTAGATGAAGAATAGGGGCTTGCCCAGCCGAGAAGCCAAATGCAAAGTTTACCCTAAAAAAAAAAAAAATTAAAAATCTACAGGAAATGGTGTGCATTGCTGTACCTATTTAAATCAGCAGCATTGTCCCCATAGCAACAGGCTCTCCAATTTAAATGCATTGCACATCATGTCAAATCGGAGGTTCTCTGACACATTGAAGCAATTTCTCAAAAAGTGAAAAGCCCCTAGGAGGAAATGATTCCTAGGAGCCAATATGATGTCTGAAAACAAACCCAGGCTCTCCGAGGAACAGAGCTTTTTAAGATCAGCAGGAAGAGGAGGAGGAGGAAGTCTTTTTGTAGCCATGCTGCACGTGAAGAAGGAACGGGGAACCTGCAAGCCACCAGATGTTGTTGGACTACAACTCCCATAATCCCTGACCATGCTGGTTGGGGAGGATGGGGGATGGAGATCAAAAACATATGAAGGACAGGCCCGGCGCATTCATGAGCCAAAGTGAGGTGACTGCCTCGGGCGGCAGGATCCACAGGGGCAGCAGATCCCGATGTGTATCCTTAGACAGCCACAGGTTTCTCCAACCCCTGATGTAAAGCACATGCTCAACATGTAACTTTACCCCCTTTCAAACCCAAACCCAGATATGGTAGTTGTGGTAGAACGGTGTGTGTGTGTGTGTGTGTGTGTGTGTGTGTGTCAGGGTTAGTGCATGCATAGATTTGTGCATCTAAAGTCTGGTTAAGGGCCATAGCTCGGTGGTAAAGAATCTGCTTTGCATGCAGAAAGTCCCAGGTTCAATCCCTGGCATCTCTGGGGAGTTGCTGGGAGAGAACCCTGTTGGAAATCCTGGAGAGGTGCTGCCAGGCACTGTAGACAATACTGAGTTAGATGGTCCAATGGCCTGCCCCAATATAAGACAGCTTCCCCCGTCCTAGTTTACATTCGACTAATGCCCATGAGAACCACGGTGTTAAGGCAGCACAGGCTTGATGAATTTCCCATGCAATAATAATTCACCCAAACCCATTTGCACTTACTAAACGGTAGAGCCGCTTTCCACGCACGTCCCCCCATTTCCGCATTTTATGAAGCGGCACGGAGACTCGTCACACTGTCCCACGCTGCGACCAGCATTCGGGTGGCCTTCTGGGATTCCTGGGGCTTTAAATGGCTGGTCCCTCCCAGTGCGAACTCGTATGTCAAAAATGCAACCTCAAAAGAAATAATAATAATAATAATAATAACAATAACAATAATAACAACAACAACAACAACAACACCCCACCCATCTGGCAATGCATTTCAGCAAGAAGGCTATGGAAGAAAAGAAAGGAAATGATGAACGGATGTGTTTGATTTTCGCCGCTCGCTCAGGAGGAATTTATTTGCCACAATGCTATGTATGGCTAACTTAGTTAAAGGTATTCATATAAATATATTTCTATGAAATTAGGAGGGAAAAGACAGTACACAGCCTCAGTCTTAATCTCATTTGGTCATGGGTGGTTCTGTAAGGCTCCAGAAAGAGCTTAATTTAAACATGCTGCAAAAGTGGCGGATGTCTGTACAGTGTTACCTCAGGTTAAGTACTTAATTCGTTCTGGAGGTCCGTTCTTAACCTGAAACCGTTCTTAACCTGAAGCACCACTTTAGCTAATGGGGCCTCCTGCTGCTGCCGCGCCACCGGAACACAATTTCTGTTCTCATCCTGAAGCAAAGTTCTTAACTCGAGGTACTATTTCTGGGTTAGCGGAGTCTGTAATCTGAAGTGTATGTAACCCGAGGTGCCACTGTATACGGCTGAGGTTACCAACCTTTTGGGCCAATGGGCACATTTGCAAACCCAACAAACTGTCATGGGTACTGTGTACATGTTGCAACTGCAAACACATGCCCTAAAGCTATACCTATGGATTCAGACTCACTTTACCCCCATCCCCACCAATTATTTTGCTTTGGAAAAACCTGCTATTCTCTCATTTGCTGTATGTTTCCCTTTCTAAATCAGAGGCACTGTAGGTTCCATTACTAGAAAGGGGGAGCATCTGCCTTTCAAAAATTGGGTTTGCAGTCCTGAGCCCAGATATGGAGATGCAAGATTCACTGGACTCTATGAGACTTGCTCCTGAGTAGGAAGGCAAGAGGGCCTTTCCATTCTGCCCCATATTCATCGGCTGCAGCATTGTTTACATTCTGCAGCAGTTCATCTTCCATCAAAAACGACACTATTTGTCTCACTGTCCACTGTGGCAAAATTACCTAGCTTATGTAAGTTCCTTTGCCATTATGTTGCTGGACCTCATTCATTTCAGTAGAAAGGGAACACAACGCAAACGGGGGGTGGTAGAAATCAATTACATATAATTTGTGGATTGAAAGCAACAACGGTGAAGACTGATCTTATTCACTGGATTGAGTTCCGCTCCAAACATGGAAGGAATAAATGAACACTGGCCATGGAGGCACAGGTTAAATCTGTATCCAGGGCAGCTGTCTACCAGCTCCATCTGGTACGTAGGCTGAGACCCTATCTGCCTGCAGACTGTCTCGCCAGAGTGGTACATGCTCTGGTTATCTCCCGCTTGGACTACTGCAATGCGCTCTACGTGGGGCTACCTTTGAAGGTGACCCGGAAACTACAACTAATCCAGAATGCGGCAGCTAGACTGGTGACTGGGTGCGGCCGCCGAGACCATATAACACCGGTCTTGAAAGACCTACATTGGCTCCCAGTAAGTTTCCGAGCACAATTCAAAGTATTGGTGCTGACCTTTAAAGCCCTAAACGGCCTTGGTCCAGTATATCTGAAGGAGCGTCTCCACCCCCATCGTTCTGCCCGGACACTGAGGTCCAGCTCCGAGGGCCTTCTGGCGGTTCCCTCACTACGAGAGGTCAAGTTACAGGGAACCAGGCAGAGGGCCTTCTCGGTAGTGGCGCCCGTCCTGTGGAATGCCCTCCCATCAGATGTCAAAGCGATAAACAACTACCTGACATTCAGAAGACATCTGAAGGCAGCCCTGTTCAGGGAAGTTTTTAATATGTGACATTTTAGTGTATTTTTTATCTTTGTTGGAAGCCGCCCAGAGTGGCTGGGGAAACCCAGCCAGATGGGCGGGGTACAAATAATAAATTATTATTATTATTATTATTTTCACTCCAGCTTCTGTTTTTTGTGGGCGTTCTCTGACATCCCTACTCCTGAGCAGACATAACTGCACTGCAAATATATGCAGGTTTCAGTTTTGAGAAGCAAAAGGGAGCGTGATATGCTGTATACATGGGCAGAAGCCTGGCAAGTCCTGAGGATACCAGGTCATCCCCAGAACCAGTAGGTTGTCTCCTGATTACCCAACCCAGGTTCAAATCTAATGCAGATGAAGAGCTGGAAATTCTGTGGGAAACCACCTCCCAACAGTAGAATTTATCTCAATGACTTTGCCCATTCCTATAGCTCAGGACTGGGGAACCTTTGGCATTCCAGATATTGCTGGAGTCCAAGTCCCATCAGCCCCAGTCTGCTGAAGCCCCACCTGCCCAGCTCTTCTACATCACATTAATTCTATAATGCCATCTATGTACATGTTTTTTTAGCTGGTTTTGACCTTTAAAGCCCTATGCGACCTAGGACCCACGTACCTAGTGGACCACCTCTCCTGGTATGCCCCGTGGAGTACCTTAAGGTCCACAAATGACAACATTTTGGAGGTCCCAGGTCGCAAGGTGGTTAGATTGATCTCAACTAGGGCCAGGGCCTTTTCAGTACTGGCCCCGACTTAGTAGAATGCTCTATCACAAGAGACTAGGGTCCTGTGGGACTTGACATCTTTCCACAGGGCCTGCAAGACAGAGCTGTTCCGCCTGGCCTTTGGTTTGGACTCAGTCTCACCCTTATGTTTCCCTCCCCTTATGGTTTTGATCTATGGGCGACTTTTAAAGTGAGGCTGCATTTTAAATTGCAATTTAACCTGTATTTTAAATTGGTCCCCCCCCATTATGTTTTTGCTGTAATTTTACTGGTGTTAGCCACCCTGAGCCCAGCTTTGGCTGGGGAGGGCGGGGTATAAATAAATATCATTATTATTATTATTATTATTATTATTATTATTATTTTATTGCTTTACAAAGAACAGGCAAGACTGGCTCCTACTCCAATAAGCTTACAATTTAAAACAGACACAGGGGAACAACCGACAATGGGGCAGATACAGGTATGGGGTGTGTGTGATAATACGTTTAATGTAAATGTGAAGAGTTGCATCCAACATCAGCCATGCTCAGAGTAAATCAAATGCAATGCAAGTAAAAGTGTTAGTTACCTTGAAAGCCGTTCTTAAAATTGGATCCATTCGGTAAGAGTTCTGGGATGTATTCAATGTAACCTCCTACGTAAAACTGGCTGAAGACATTGAGCCCAACCAAAGTTCCTGGAGATGTGATGGTTTTGTTTTCATGGTCATCCACCTTTCAGACAAAAGCAGAACAAAACCAAAACCTGTTATTTGTGGAGCAAATTGAGTAGATCTCTTATCTCATCCTTACGTCCTCACAAGCTTCCAAACATGGAGAAACCACCATTAACGTGTTTTGTATTACAGTCTAAGCTTCAAATCAATGAAGGGTAGAAGGCACTGCTGCAATTGAGTAGTAAATATATAAATAAGGTCTTTAAATTTCCAGGGTGGTCATTCAAAGAGCTTTTAGAGGTGTGCAAGTACGTCTGCTGATGTAGCAAGTTGTACCCCTCCCACCCCCACTTTCCACTCCAGCATCCTTATGTATTCTTTCCCAGAGTGCTCTAGAATTTCAAGAGCAATTCGTAAGGGGCAGTGTGTGTGTGTGTGTGTGTGTGTGTGTGTGTGGTGGGTGGGAGAACTGCTTTTGAAAATGGAGAGGGGCATTCAACAACCTTGTTGTATGAAGTCTTCAGGACACAGTACATAAATATATTTAACTCTTAGGATTCAAGACTATATATTTAAAGTTTCGTTTGTATGACAAGCTTAATAAAGGTTATATACCGTATCCTGCCGCTTGCACCAAAGGAGCTCATATGTGGGTTCTTCTACTTTTATCCTCACAGCAACCTTGTGAGGCAGGTTAGGCTGGGAGGCAGGGACCAGGCTGAAGCCACCGCCAACCACCCCACCCCCAGTGAGCTTCGTGGATACAAAGAAGAGTTTTATAAGCATCTCTTCCAAAGGAAGCGTTACCTTCATCCAGCCATCCTGAAGAAATCTGCCAAGACTGACCACGTGAATATGCCTTGTCAGATCTAGCAGCTCACTAATGATAGTGGCTGTTCCAGATCCTAGGTTGTAGCTGTACACCAGGCGGCCGTGGCGCAGGCCGAGCACTAAGAAATCATCGCCATTAAGACCTGGAGTAAGAATAACCACAAGGGGATACATTAAGGGAGTGAGTCTTGGGTCACATTACCAAAACGAAACGAGAGGATGCAAGAAATGATAGCCTAGATACCAGAGAGAGATTGCAGCTAACACCATGTGCCCACCGCTTCCCAAGCCAGCGGTTGAGAGTGCACAGGATGCAGAGTAAACAGGCCCAGAGTTCGGCTTCTTTTGCAAGGAGGTCATTGCAGGCTTATGGCATTTTGTAATGTTTTATTTTAGTTATTAACATGCAGCTTGAGCAGAGGTCGGCCAGGCATCCAAAGTCCACTGCTCCCACTTCAGATCTCTCCAGAAAAGCAAACGTTGCCCTTATGCTTAATCCCACTCAAAAACTAGTTCGGTGGCATAGTGAAACAGGAATTTGGGGAGAAGATTTTTTTTTCTTCCAGAGAAGGGGTGATGGCACAATCAGCTGGAGGACCAGGGTAACTGACAGGTCCTTCTTGTTCTGGCTAGTGAATGATGTTGGCTAGTGAATGGGGCTTTCAAGTTTTACCAGTTTGTTGATTAGCACAGAGGAAATCAGAAACTCTGCAAAACACAAGCAGAGGCTGGATACTTCTTTCCTTTGATGGATTTCCTACTTCATGCTAGCAGATGACACAGTAACACTGCTTTCCCAAATCATTTGCATTTTTAATTAAAAGTTCATTTGAAAAATGCTCAGAAACTCCAACTGGCTCCAAGAGCTGCAGACAGATTGTTGACTGGGAACATACAACCCCCTTGCTAGAGCAGCTCCCACACTGGCTACCTATAAAGCCCTGTACAGCTTAGGTCCAGGCTATCTGAAAAGCCTATTTCCTCATGTGAAACTGCCCAGGCTCTGAGATCTTCAGGGAAGGCCCTTCTCTCAGTCCTGCCACCCTCACACGGCCTTCTTGGTGGCAGCTCCCAGGCTTTGGAAATCTCTCCTGAGAGAAGCTAGACTGGCTCCCTCCTTGCTGTCCTTCTGCGGGCAGGTGACAACTTCCATGTTCCAACAGAAACGGCTGTTTTTGAGGAATGGGCTGGTGCTGTGCTCTTTTTATTGTAATTATCTGTATGTGATCTCACACACACACATATCTCCCCACTTCTGCATTATTATTATTAAGGCGCATATATTAAGTTCCAAGCTTTGCTTAATCTAACCATGTCTTGGCCTCAAATTCTCAGCCACAAAGCTTGCTGATTGTTCTTTTTTATAAGCAACAACAACAACAATGTGGGAATGGATTTTGTTCCAGGAAAGCTTAGAGGACTAATTTTCTTCTTTCCTCACAGCTGAGAATCAAAGAATAGCAGGTATGTCTCTCTCTCTCTCTCTCTCTCTCTCTCTCTCTCTCTCTCTTCTCTCTCTCTCTCTCTCACACACACACACACACACACACACACCCCAAGGTGAGGATTACTTCTGAGTACACATATATAGGAATGTGCAGCCAATTGTCACAGTGCAAAGCGGTCTTCCTAAACTTTCTCATGTTCCTTCCATCTAGTCTTCTGATGCCCCCTGGTGGCTTTACATAGATTAGTATACAGATGAAAGCACTAAGACATTTTCTCTTTCATTTTCTCTTTAGTTCCGTACCCAACAATCACATTTTATCATTTGCATGATACCCTACGCAAACCCCCTTCCACAGTTACACAGGAGGCTGCTTTATACTAGGTCAAGGCGTTTATCCATCCTGCTCTGTATTGTCTAGGCCAGCCTTTCTCAACCTTGGGTCCCCAGATGTTGTTAGACTACCACTTCCATCATTCCTGATTGCTTGTCCTGCTAGCCAGGGATGATGGGAGTTGTAGTCCAACCATCTCTGGGGATTCAAGGTTGATAAAGGCTGGTCTAGACTAGACACAGGCTACTCTAACTGGTAGAAGTTCTCCAGGGTGACCAGCATCCAGGGTTGTACAGGTGTGCCTTTGAGACAGAATATCTGTCTTTTCTGAAATTAAATTTTGGAATTTACCGGTCAAGATATCAAAATAAACATTATTTTCTATGTAATAAAAATATAACAAATGCTATGTGCACTTCTGTTAATAGTTCTTGAGGTGCCCAGAAATCAGAATCCATATATCTATACCCCCCCCATTTACTTTGTCTTAGCCATTTGAATAACACTCCCTCCCCAGAGAAACACGAATAACTTACCTTGACCCTTCTGACCAGTGAAAAATATCAGGTTGTCTTTCAGTGAAGAGTTGTGGTTTGCTAATTGAAATTTCAGTTGGAATTCATAGTAGAGGCTGATGTTTGGAATCGCTGAATAGGCTAGGAATGAGGTATAGCCAAAGCTATCTGTCCCACTGAAGTTAGGATAGGTAATATTAATAACTGTTTGAAAAACACAGAAAAGGAAAATGCCGTTGGGGGAAGCACAGGTGAACAGCAAGTAATGGCCCAGTTCATATATACGATTTCTTAGCATCCAGAATTGAGAGCTAGGATCGGGTTCTCCACACATTTCTCCTTTGTTTTGCAAGCCAGTTTCAGCATATCAACTGCCCCTGATTAGCTTAAGCTACCATTCCCTGTGGTTTGATATCCTGGTTAGTAGACTGAAATTAAACCACAGTTCCCCATTTGGCACATAACAGGGAACTATAGGTTAAGGACCAAATTGATGACACATTACACAAACCCAGGCCCTTGTATGGCAGGTGGGAGGGGGGCTTTAACCCTCTGACCCCTGCTTTAAACTTCTCCCCCATAATCAGTGGTGGCTGATGACCACTGAGACTGGCGGTGCAGAAGGCCGGGAGTCCAACAGCAGGGGGTGCTAGAGCCAATGGCAGGGAGAGACACAGCTATTGTCAACTAATTCTAGTTCTGACCCTTCTCCCTACCGAGTTCCACAAGGGCAACACTGAAACAAAGGAGAAAGCTGCTAGCCAATGTGCCACTCCTGGTAGCATGTAAGGAGGCAGGCAAATGCGGGCTGATTAAGGGCAGTCTGAGGTCGGTGGGGCAGGGCTGCATTTGCCCTAATGGACCAACTTCCCCTGCCCATAGTTGACATGCTCCTCTTTCTTTCCACACCCATACGTCTCTTGTGTCTGGCTGAAACCAATTTTGAAGAGGGTTGCCTCTCCAGGTCCAATGTAAACTCCAGGTCTGTACTAAGTTGATCTGCTTTAACTCGCTACCCTTGCCCTGGTCCCTGCCTCTTCCTTTCTCTCTTCCACGCTTAACCAAGGCGAGGGAGTATTACTCACTGCAGAATTGCTTATAAGCAATGTCTAGAAAGACAGGGATTCACAGGAGCCTTTTGGTTCTCAGCCATCTTGGGCATGGCCGCACATGTTTGTAGCAGCATTCAGGAACATCAAAAACCATGGGAACCACATCACCCTGGGTGCAGGTACACATGCATGAAGCACCATCTCCTGGTTGATGCCTGGCACTGCAAGGAGTCCCTCTCCACCACCCTTGTAAGTGTAGGGAAAGAAGTGTGGCTCTCAGTAGGTTAGGGGTCTGGCTGACTTAAATGGGTCCCATTTAAAATTGGATGCAACTTCAAACATTCTAAACGAATCCAATTCAACTGAATGAACTGGAGGGAATGTTCCCATTGTTTGTTTGTTTGTTTATTAAATATATAATGCCCCCACATCCTCTGACAGGGGCACAGGATGGAAAAGGCACAAACTGTAAACCAATTAAAACATCTAAAAAGCAACAACAATTCCAGTACAGAGGCATACTGAGGATTACAGATTCAGTGCACTAAACTGTATGTTCTTGAACATCTGAAAAGTAGGAAGCAGAGAGAAGTGATGAAGTCAATTTGCCCGGCAACAAAAAGTGTTTTTTTTTTTTTTTGGTCATTTAACACAAAGAAGCTTCAGTCTATCTCTCCCTCACTGCATTTGACTTGCTAAGTTCTGCATTCTTCTCTTACCATCATTACAAAGGATTCCAGTCCTTCCATAGGGACAGAGGCACACGGTGTCTTGGCTGGATTTTGGAAAACATGTTGCTCCATTTCCACATGGGTTCTCCTCACAGGTTGAAAGCTGACATAATTTCCCAGAGTAGAGAACAGAGCATTCACAGAACCAGTTCTCTGTATCACTGTTAAAATTTAAAAGAAGAGAAAGGTTACCAAATAGCATTTGTTAAGAAGAGGGATGTAAGAATATCACTGTGCCATTGAGAGCGTGCTCACTTATGGCTTATGTGTGTGGTACGGAAGCTGTACTACCCAGGACAGGATGGGGTTGTGCAGAGTTGTTAAGGCAGCAGAGAGCATTGTTGGCTGCCCACTCTCCACCTTAGAGCAGATTTATGCCACAAGGTGCCAGAGGAAGGCACTGGACATAGTAAAAGATCCATCGCATCCTGGTCACTGTCTCTTCGAGCTTCTGCCATCGGGACGGAGATACAGGACGATGAAGGCAAGAACGAGCCGTCTTAAGAACAGCTTCTTCTCCAGAGCGATCTCGACCCTGAATGGGAAGCCTGGACTTTGAAAGTCATCTAATCTTCCTTGCTGTACTATACTGTATTGTTTTAATTAGTGTTTTTATGGAGCAGTCAAGTAATTTCGTTGTCCCCGAGAGGGGGCAATGACAATAAAGATATTATTATTATTATTATTATTATTATTATTATTATTATTATTATTATTATTGTTTTGTTGTTGTTGTTGTTGTTGTTGTTGTTGTTGTTGTTGTTGTTGTTAAGAAGGTATCAATTCCCATTCCAGCCAGTGTTCATCGCATGCAGAACCATTTCCATTTGGCTGCAGTTCAGCATCCAGCAAAGACTACATTATTCAACTCATTTATTCCCTGTGGAGGAATTTTGCATAATTAATTGCGTGATCGATCCCATTATCATTATGTTGTTCCACACCATTAATTTCAATGCAACAGAAACACAACACAAATTTGGGGGGGGGGAGAAGTGATAAATTATGTACAGTTTGCAGAGTGAAAACAACAACAGTGAATACTGGTTGCATTTGCTGGATCAATTTCTGTTCCAGATACAGAACGAATAAGCGAATATCAGCAATTTCTGCACCCGTTTCCATTTCCACCAGAATCTGCCTCTGAAACGGGGAGGTGAAAATCTTACCCACCTTTCTACCTTATATTGCAGAATATGTCTGTCAAACCTGGTTGTTTGCTTCTGGTTCAGATTTATTTCTAAGCCTGAACCCCTTGTTCTTAAGCACAAGTCCCTGCTTTATGTTTCATACAATTCAGTTAATAAGATTCAAACCCTTGAAAAATATTCCCAGCTTTTCCATGCTGTTCATTTCCTCAGTGTGTGTAATCCTCTGAGGGCTTCTGGTCAAATACTCGTTGTGTTGTCTCAGCAAAATGCATGAAACAACTGCTGTGCCTTCAAGGCCAAAAGCAAGTGTGAGGGAGAAGAGGGGAATGTTTCTATAGCTACGTCTTCAGTTGCATATCAGCCGCAATGGGAGTGATTCTGAATTGGAGCGTCCAAAGGAGTTGCAAACACCCCATACATTTAAAGCACATTACTTCTGCAAAGTGTAGTTTCAAAAGTGTGCTGGGAATTGTAGTTTGGTTAGGGGATAAGCTACAGTTCCCAGGATTATTATTTTTTCGGGGGGGGGGGGAGCCATGTGCTATAAATGCAGAGAGTGGATGATCGTGCTAGTTCTGTGGAACGCTTACTCCACAATAAAATTACTTAAGTGTTTAAGATACTACATGACTCTTGTTTTTGCTGCCACAGAATAACATGGCTGCCCCTCTGGAAATCGAATCACAGCAGTCAACATTCTCCTTGTAACACCATCTGATGTAACCAGATATTATAGCAACGTGGTGTTTTCAGAAGCAGCCACACAACTCTTTCCTACTTTCTCGTATGCTACAATATCACATTGGGAGTTTCTCTGACACCCACACTACTTGTCTCTCTGTTGTGGGGACAGAGAAACTCACAATGCAATGATGTCTCATCACACGCTGGCCATAGCGATATGGGAACCAGAGACTGGGGCCTGCACCCTCTCCTTTCTTCCTCTGGTGTGCCAATGAGAATGTCAGAAACATTTGCTTCTGCTTTTAAACCAACCAGAGCTTCCTGTTACATCCAAACTTGGAGAAACTCTGATTAGTACAAACCAGTGCTGTGCAGAACCTTCATTTTTTAATTTTACTTTTTGTTGACTATATGAAGCAAGATGGGGAGGAAAGTGAGCATGTATAGAAACAGGGCACAGACAGGAGGGTTGCACTAACCATTTTACTACAGTAGTTGAAGGGTCTGGTACATATTTCTTTTCACTTAAAACTTTTGGAAAAGCCCAATGCCCGCTTTGTAACAACATTGTGTGGCCACATAATCAAGGCAGACAGCAACCCCAGTCTGGAAGACACTCTTCAAAGAGCACAGCACTGCTGCAAGCAGGTATGGGGCTTTTCTAGAGTTTTAAGTCCTCTCTGCTCACCCTAAGATAAGCTAGTCTGGTGCCTGCCACATACCACATAGTGAGCTTCATCACTGAGTGGGTATTCGAACCTTGGTCTTCTTGGTCCTTGTCTGACATTCTAACCACACTAGTGCTATGACTTGCACGACTGAGAGAAGTGAAGGTCATGGCCATTTTCTGTTCCCTAGCATTTGGCACCCAAAAGACGGATTACTTCTGAAAATGGATAATGATGAGAAGGTCTTGCAAGTTTCCAAATTTAGCTCTCACACTGGCTCTGAGAAACAGTGAAAGGCACTATGTGTCATGACTCAGGTGGTGAATATTGCCCCATACCATACAAACATAGTACTTGTGTTGAGGGACTGGCTGCCTATTAGACTTCGATCTAGTTTTAAGGTCCTGCTACTTACAACTCTGGATCAGGTTACCTGAAAGACTGACTCCCTCCCCTTCTCCTTTTAATGCCCTGATAATGACCATTAAAAATAAATAAATAGAACCCACTTAGTCTTGTTCCCAGCCTGATGATTATCAGCTTGTGCTAGCTTAGTGGCAGGCTGTTTCACTAGAAGCACTGATGCTACAGAACACACTGCTAAAATACAATAAGTCCCATCTTCATTGGCATTCCCCCAGCTTTTGAAGCCAAGGCATGATCTCTTGACCCGAGTCTCCTGTTTTTAATTGTGTTTAATGACTTCAATGGTATTGCTCTATTGTATATTTTAATAATAGATGTTTATATTTTAATGTTTGTATTTTTTTAATACTTTCTAAACCATCTTTAAGAAGTGCCATTTTTTTCTAGAAAAAGAGGTGCTGGAACTCACCATGAACGCCTCCCTTGTTCTCTTATAATGACAATGGTGCCCATCTGAGAGGTGCTTGAACAGAGTTCCAGCGAATTCTGGCTGAAAAAAGCTTTGTTTTTAGGCCTATTTTAGCCCTGGGCAGGTTGGCTTGATGGGTGGGGCCTGAATCAAGGTCACAGATCAGGAGTAACTAACATGGTGCCTTCCAGATGTGGTTTTTTACCTCCAACTCCAATTACCTAGCCTTTGGCCTCCTAGGTAGGACTAATGGGAGTTGTCGTTCGGCAACACCTGGAGGGCACCACCTTGGCAGCCCCTGGTTTGGCTGATAAAAGCTAAGGAAGAGAGTCTTAAAGAGAGTCTGCTACATAGACAATGAAACAAAACACCTAACCAGATAATAAGGAGAAAAAGCTCCCGAGCCATGGAAGCTGTATTTATTAGCAAGAGAAAATGAGTACCCCTTCCTGACACTCCTTGTGCCTAACAGTTCATTAGCGTATTTCAAAGGAGCCCACCCACAGTTTCAAGGCGCAGAGAATCTCAGCTGGGAAGCCTTCCAGAATGAATCCGCTTGAATAATGCCTCCAGACAGCTTTTAAAAGAGAAATGGCTATCAGCTGCAATAATACATTTCTTATGAATAGCCTTTTGTGTGTATAGAGGTACCGCTGGAGAGGAGAGCCAGAAAGAGGAATGTAAATGGGTATGTACCACCGAACACCCTGTCTTTTCAATCATTTTGATAACTGTGGCATGCCACTCATCTGATCACATGGGCACCAGTCTCTCAAGGGCTAGTCATTAAGTGCACAATCTCAGAAATTCATTGGCATTATCCCCGCTGAATGGGATGGCACAGTGTTTTTGCACAGCTCCCACTCATTTTAATGGGGCTTCTGGTGGGAAACTTCTCAATGGCTTCTGTTCAAAGCATTGCAAGTGGGGGAAAGTAAGCCCCTTTGAACTAAGAGGGCACTGCATCTGATAAATCATTCATGGGATTAGGCTGCAAATATTTATTTCTGCATTCGAAAGTTAAGTTGTGAGTGCTTGGGGAAATAGCTATTCCCTCTCAAAAACAAACACTTGCAGTTCAAATATTCCTTTGCTTTCTTTTCACAGGATGCCATGCTGGGGCTCCTTAGTTATTTCCCCCTGATGGTTTTGGTTTTATTTTTATTATTTCCCTTACTCTGTCATAATCGTACGTGCCAAGTGTTACTGCCAGTTATCGAAGGAGGGAGAGGCGAGAAGAAGAAGAAGAAGAGTTTGGATTTGATATCCCGCTTTATCACTACCTGAAGGAGTCTCAAAGCAGCTAACATTCTCCTTTCCCTTCCTATCCCACAACAAACACTCTGTGAGGTGAGTGGGGCTGAGAGACTTCAGAGAAGTCTGACTAGCCCAAGGCCAACCAGCAGCTGCATGTGGAGGAGCGGAGACAGGAACTCGGTTCACCAGACTACGAGTCCACCGCTCTTAATCACTACACCACACTGGCTCTCAGAGAGGGGGAGTGTGGGCATCACGAAAGGAGCATCAGTTGGCACCAGAACTACACCAAGCTCCCCGCACCTGGCCTGTCTCCCCCTCGCTGGTTAGGAGCAATGCCCTGCCTGTGCCGCCCTGCTGCCCACTACTGGCTGGAATTAGGAATCAGTACTACTGAGCCGGCGTACAGCTTCCGGGTCATGTGGCCAGCATGGCTAAGCCGCTTCTGGTGACCAGGAAGCTGTATGCCGCCTCCCTCGGCCAATAAAGAGAGATGAGCGCCGCAACCCCAGAGTCGGCCACGACTGGACCTAACGGTCAGGGGTCCCTTTACCTTTACCACTGAA